GGGGGGGGGGGTGTTGAGGGGAGGGAACAAGGAAAGGCAGGGTTCAGGCTGGAAGAGGCCTTAAGAAATCAAAGTATCCATCCCCCGGCTTCCTGACAGCACCTTAACCAGGCTCCATCAGTCAGAAGCATGAGACTGCTTCAAATTTGGGGCATGTGTGTGGGCTCAGTGTCCAGGGGTAAGAAGGATTGAAACCTGGAGGGTCAAATGGCTTCAACTTCTGGGTTTTCAAAGCAGCCTTGACATCTTATGTCGCTTAGGTCTCCTGTGACGGGGGCAATTGAGGCGAGAGGAATTTTTTGGTCTTTTTGGCAGGGGTCAGTAGAGGTTTTCCTTTTAACTCAGTTGGTCAGGGGCAGAGCAAGAATTAGATCTAATAGGCTACACCTTTCCCTCCGTGGCAAGGTCAAGATCTATTAAACCCTCGGTCTCTTCCCTCTCTCTCCCTCTGGATCGTTTATCTGTCCTTCTGTGTCGCCTCTTGAACTCTGTTTCCTGCTCCCTTGGGACCCCAAGCTTTTCCTGAGTGGGTGGAGTGGGAGGGAGAGAAAGCAGAACCCTCCAGACTCACTTTGACTCTCCCTTCTCCTTGACCACCTGGCTCGGTTGTTCCGCATCTTCCTGTCTAAGCCATCAGTTTTACACGTAGCATGTAGGTCTCAAATGTCAGGGGGAGGAGGGACTACTTAACCTTCCAGCTTCTCAGTCCATGGTCACCGCTCAGCAGAGTTTGGGGCCTGAGAGGACCAATGCTCCCAATGCTGTGGGCAGGCCTGAGAGACCAGCAGAGAACAAGCTCAGTCTTCAGGCTGAGGGGTTGGTCACAGGGACGCCCTAGGCAGGGTCTCTGCCCTCGAGGACCTTACCATTCGTAGACCCCTGTGGTCGTCTAGTTCCACCCAACCCATGATGCCTCAGTCCCCTTCACAGGTGGCCATTGTCCAGCTGCTACTGACCTCACAAGGCAACCCGTCCCACTGAGGTGCAGCTCTGGCCACAGGGAGGCCTTCTGGGTTTTGAACTGCCATCGGTTCCCTCTTTTATTCTTTGGTCCCCATTTTTCCTCTAGGAACCTGTGGACTAAGTCTGATCCATCCTCCACTTGACATTTGAGATTGGTGTTATAAGTTTCAATCAGTGGCAAGGACAGTAAAAGGAGGAAGTATGGTGCTGGGACTCAGAGAGGGTTTCTCAGGGGAGGTGAGATCCAACTGGAGCTTGACGGACCTGGATGTCCTGTCGCTCGTGGTCTATGGTGAGGAGCCGGGAAAATGCCGGTGTCTGTCTGGGGTGGGGCACAGAGATGAGGAGGGGTCGTAGCTAGACAAGAAAAAACCCCACACATGTTGAGGAAAGCAATGGGGTCTTAACTGAGTTCTTGGCCTTACCAGTGTGGCAGCCTGGGGGCTATGGGTTCTAAACCCTGCTTTTGACCCCGACCAGCTGGGTTGAGGAAGAATTGCTATTTCTAACCCACATCCTTCCGAGCAAAGAAAAGCCTGGCCTCAGTTTACACTCCAGTCCTATGAGCCTTGGGAAAAGAAGGATGTTGAAGTTACCGTGGAAACCAAAAAATTGCATCATTTTGTCCTTTTGGGATCCAATCTGCCTTGCCCCTAAACAGTGTGTTCGCGTCCTCTAAAAATGGAAGCAGGAGAGCTGGGCTTGTTCTGATTTCCAGGATCTTACTATCTGGTTGGCAAACATGGACACTGAAACGTGAATGTTAAATTATAATGTGAGAGAGAGCTATTTTAATTCAGCAGTAAACACAGGGGCCGTGATCGATTGCCAGTGAGTGGGCTCATCAACTGAGTGTTTCAGGAGTTTATAGAAAGTCAGAATCACCAAGTCTGGGTCTCTGTGGAAGGCTTGAGGAGGAGGAGGGTTTGTGCTGGGTCTTGGGGAACAGGTGAGAATTAAATGAGAAGAGAGGAAGGGGGCACTGGGTGGAGGGTTTGTATGGCACGCGGGGTCCAGTAAGCGGGCGATTGGACAAGTGTGTAGAGATGAGAGGAGGCCCAGCTGAGCGTGGAGGGACTTGAAAGCTGAGGCAAAGAGACCACATAGAAAACCATGGCAGTAACCCAGGAGTGGGGTGCTGGAGGCCTGAGCAATCCACTCAGGCAGGAGGATGGATTCCACCAGGAGAGGATGCATGTTTCGGCTGGCCAAGGGATGTGTGTGTGTGTGTGTGTGTGTGTGTATGTGTGTGAGGTAGGAGGATGATGGTTGTATTAATGAAAGGGCACCCGGTACATGGCAACAGCCAATAAATGTTAGTCCCTTTCCTTGCTTTGTCCTGTCCTCCACTCCTGGCCCCCCCCCCCCTCAGTCTATTGCCTTGGCCATTATTGCCTCCAGGGGACCAGAAGAGCAGGAACGGGGGAGGGAAAACCTGGTCTCACCCCAGGTGCCTATATATTTATTCACTCAACTCTTTTGATCAAGAAACCTGTGTTGCACGTCTCGCGCTGGGTGTTGGGGTCACTGATGTGAAGACGATGTGGTCTTTGTGCCTGCAAATAGTCACAGCTGGGTAAGATGAACGCACAAAGTTATCTAACCAAGGTGGGAAGCGGTAAGTGGTAAAGGAGTACTATCCTGTAATCCAGAGAAAGAATTTACTAATCCCCCCCTTCATCGGCTGAACCCAGTTCCCTAGGAGCCCACTCTGTGTCAGTCCCTGGGGCTGGGACGGGACCTGGGTGAGGGCACTGAATAGGAGCCTATGGGATTGATGGGAGTGTGGCTTTGTGCGTGTAACGTTTGCTTCTAACCAAATGTGAGGGTGGGGCTGCAGGGCTAGAGCGATCTTGTGCGTCCGGGTCTCAGTGCATCCCTGTCTGTAGACGTGCTTGCGTACGTCTGCCCAAGTAAGTGCCGAGGACCACGTCAGGGCCCAGCTGTGGGGCACAGACCCTCCCAGGCCCGAGAAGACAGGGTGGCCCAGGTATCTCTGGCCTCAAAACCCTGATGGGGGGTTGGCCCTCTATCCACCCTGCTCCTCTTTCCTAGCCGAGCTGTGGAACAGCCGCATCTAGGGGCTTGGCCTTCTTCCCCTGCACACTCACCCACCCCATGCAGGCTGCCCTCTGATGGATGGGAACACATTGGTGCCAAGCACAGAACAGCCTTTGTGCTCCACCACCAGCGGTGATCCATCAGCTCTAACCTGACAGCAGGGCGTCGGGCCCTAATCCCCATCCCTGCTGGCTTGGGCACTCAGGGCCCCCTGCCCCGACTGTAGCCTCCTCTAGCCGTCCCCTGCTCCCTCCGGAGGAAGCCCTTATCCCTGGTGGGGGCTCCAGGGCCAAGCTGTTTGTGTCCCCACCCTGTCTGTCTCAACTCGATTCTGTCTGTTTGCCTGCTGGGCTGATCTCATTTGCATGGTAGTGGTTGGATTTCAAAATGCCCAGAAATCCCCTTCACCTGCCTTGCGGGCCCTTCCTCCCCACTCTGCTCTACATACTCAGCCTTACTCTCTGGCTCCTAGCCTCTTCCAGTCCCTGCTGACCTCGCAGGTGGGCTGACCTGGGCTGCCATGTTGTTTGGCCAACATCAAAGCAAGTTTCCCATTCTGGAGCCTCGATTCTGGAAGTAGAGGAGCAAGAAGGAGAAGGGTCTGGAAGGACAGGAGCCTCTGGCTTCTCCGTACAAGCCCCCCCTTTTGTTTTCGTAGCCTGGGTCTCTGGGTGTTATGGATGGGAACTAGGTAGGGCTTGGGTGGCAGAAATGTGTGTACATTTCAAGGACCTAGATGCATGAACGTGGCATCCAAATCAGCTTGATTATTGGGGGAGCAGTAGCCTTGCAAGCAGGGTGAAAACCGATCACAGAATCATAGAATAGCAGAGCTGGGAGGTAACCTAAGGATTAGCTAGTCCACCTTCTTCCTTCTACACACTGGGAAACTGAGGCCCAGAGGTGGGGATGTGACTTGCCAAGGGTGCACAGAGCACTAGTGTCAGAAGTGTGAAGGGGGCCTGATCTTGGGCCTTGGGGCTGAATCCCAGTGCCTCGTCTCCCTCCCTGAGCCTGACAGGTGAGGAACATGCTTCAAGTGAGTACCTGC